TTTGTTGACTCCACCATTCCATGCCTGATGTCCCTCTCCAAGGAATAGCCTCTCCTAGTAACAGGCTCAAGTATGTGAGACGAAGCACTCTGGCTGCATCCAAGACATACCTGTTCTTTTGGCAGTTCCTGCGATACTTAGCTCTCTTCTGGAATGCCACAGCTCAAAGGATTCTCCCATCCTTATTTATTGTGCAGCTTTCAGAATCATAGCGAGTGATTGAAAAAAACCATGGCCTGAATCAGGTGCACCTTAGTCTTTAAATTGACATCATTGCTCCTCAGTAATTTGGAGTGGCTCCCTCGTCAGCAGACTTTCCCAGTACATCACCTGATCCACTGACTGCAAGTACCAAGGGGGATGACTGTGAGTAAGGTGGAATCATTGACAGCTCAGTCTTTTCTCCATCTACCATGATGTTGCTTATTTGTCTAGTGGTGAATATTTTTGTCTTTTTTATATTGAGATGCAATCCATATTGAAGGCTCTATTCTTTAATCTTTTGTGGCAAATGTTTCAAGTCCCCTCACTTTGAGCAACTTGTTGAGGTGGTGGTGGTGAAGTGTTGTTGTTAGGTGCTATCTATCCAACTATGATTCACAGCCATTCTGTGAACAGACTTGACCTTGGCCTGTCCTGTGCCAGCATCATGATCTCCACTGTGCTCAAAGCCACTGTCGTCCTCAACAGGCCAGCCCGTGTTGTTGAAGGTCTTCCTCTTTTTCGATAACCCTCTACCTTTCTCAGTATGATGTCTTTTTCCATGCACTGTCTAACAACACGCCCAAAGTGTAGGAGACACAGTTTCGACCCCTTGCCTCAGAGCACCCTAGCTGCACCTCCTCCAAGACAGACCTGTTTGTTCTTTTGGCCGTCCAGGACATATTGCAGACTCTCCGCCAGCATCACAACTCAAAGGCATCAGTGCCTCGGGTATCTTTATGCATAGGAAGGAACTGAAAAGACCATGGTTTGGATCAGGTGCACCTTAGTCTTTAAACTGATATTCTTGCTCTTTAAAACTTTGTACAAGTCCCTGACAGATTTCTTCAATGCAGCACAACTTTTGATGTCTTGACTGCTGCTATCATGAGTATGATTGTGGATCCAAATAAAATTAAATTGACAAGTAATTTGAGTCTTTACTCCATCTGCCATGATGTTACCTATCATGATGAGAGTAGATTATAAGACAGAAATGTACGGTCTCGTGGTTCTGGTTGCAGGGCCAGGTTCCCTCTGGAGGCCCCGGTGTGAGCTCCCTCCTTGTCCCTCTGACTTCTGGTGGCCCTAGGAGCTTCGTAGCTTGTAGCCCTCATCACGTGACCTCCACCTGGCTGTCTCTTATCTGGACACATGGGCACTGGTAACCAGAGGCGGCACCCCTCTGGCTGCCTGAGTCCCCCAGCTGCTTCTCAGGAGAAAAATGGGCGGTCTCCTGTGGGAAGTACAGCCTCACAAAATCCACTGGTCTCTTCCTACAGGCAAGGAATGTTTTCTTTAGGGGCGGGAGTGGGGAGTGTTGAGATAACTGTTCCTACCCTGATGTCTGTTCCATTTGCTGACCTCCACCCACCCCGACTCCATGCACTCTTCTCCCCAGCCCAAAGGGCCATATGTCCATCTGAAAGTGCACAGTGTTGACTCTCCTTCAATTTTGGGCAAGTGATGCTGACCCCGGGGCAGGGGAGCCCAGGGACCCCTGTGAACCAGGCTGGTAGCAGAATGTCATTGGTCCACCTTGGTATCTAGGGCATGAACTTGGCAGTGAGGACCAGAGACTCAAATGAACAGCCAATCAAGATAAGGCTGATCTCATGTAACAGGACTCACCTGGCTCGGATCCACGAGGCCACGCACGAATCCAGCTCAAGTTCCTTCCACATTTGATCCAAGATCCTTGGGTGGACGCTGCATCTTCAATATCAAAGACCGCATCAGCAAGGCCATGCTGGAGGGAGGGGCCCGGAGGCAGCTCAGCAAGCTCCTTCCAGTTAAGGAACAGCCTGGGAATACTTCTGCCCACCTCTGATTGGCCAGAATTTACATGCGGGCACATTGTCGTTGGCTGCCGACACACTGATCCCATGAGTGCAGGGTTGAGCTTCGTGGCAGTGGCCTTTGGGAAACAGGTGGCCATGCTGGTCTTCCAAGATTCTGCGGGTGGGTTCGAGGTACCACTCATCGGCTGGTACTTGGGCACTCAGCTGCCCCACCCAGGCGCCTCTGTGGACATGCCCAGGAGTGAGGAGGGTCTGAAGAGCAATCTTTTCTGGGGAAGCCCTGTGCTGAGCTAAGAATATATTGTAAAAGGAGGAAGGGTGGATGCGGAGGGGCCGTTTACAGCCTCTGATAAGCCAGTGTTCCTAAAAATGTCTTCTATAAAAGGACTCCCTTACGATATTCCTGAAAAAAATAGATTCATTGGCCAAATAATTTTGGGAAACAATAAGTTCTGTGTGGCTGTAGCAGCGAGTGGCTCGGCACGAGCCCCAAGTACTAGAAGCAGAGACCTGAAGGCTGAACCTCCAAGAAGGACCTCATCTGAGGGAGGAGAGAGGAAGCACGAGAGCTTCACTCATCAGAGAAACAGGAAAGAACCCAAACAGCGTGGTATCTGATTTTCAGCCAACCGCCAGGCAGTCTGGAACTGAGTGGTAGCCCGGAGAGACAAGCACTCCTTAGAACCAGCCACTCGATAAAGGCCCAGTATTTGCTCAGGGACAAAGCTCTGAAGCCAGGAAAGGCTAAGAGGGAAGGAGGCATGGAAACCAGAAATACAGGAGGAAGTGGGGTGAGGTGACATGGGGAGTGTGGTCAGTAGCACAAAGCAAAAGAGAGGTGGAAAACCGATCCGCTCCGTAAACCTTCGTTCAGATGACAATTACAAACACAGCAAAACCAAACAGTGCACTGTCATGTGACTCCAGCACCTGTTAGCGAGGGGGAAACACACAGCAAAGCTCCAATTCAGCAGCTGCTACGTGGCAAGTCAGCGATGGCCCGCAGCCTTCGGGCCCTGTGGCCCTTCTCACTGTCCTTTTCCAGATCATTCCACATAAATGCAATGACCCTCAGCAAAACCAGCTCTTTCATTGCTGTTGTGTAGGAACTGGCACGTAGCTGGCCCTCCAGTGGGTTTTCAGAGGCTGTAAATGGCACAGGAGGAGATTGCCTATCTTTCTCCCTGGAGCAGCTGGTAGATTCAAACCACCTGCCTTTGGGTTGGCAGCACAACTCCTTACCCACTAGGCCACCAGTTGTCCTCACTGCTAAGAAACACTAATGCTCTTTGGTTTCTAAATGCAGTCAAACCTCTGAAAGGTGGAAACCTTTCAGAGAAGGAAAGCACAAATATTTTTCACTGATGAGAGTGACAGGAAAGTGGGAGGACACTTTCAAGACCTGGAAAAACCAAGGTAGTCCTGTCTAGTGCCAACTCCCACGAATTTCACTGTAGGTATTTATTTCACGTCAATGAGCGCATACACTGTCGTTATGTGACCGACTCCTATCTCTCAGCAAGGTACTGCCAGGTCCATCCGGGAGGGTGGGCTGCTTCAGGACTTCCCCTCTCTCTGTGGCAGCCCACGTCCCCTCTCTGTGGCTGTGTGGCAGCCCACGTCCCCTCTCTCTGTGGCTATGTGGTAGTCCATTGTCCTCTCTCTCTGTGGCTGTGTGGCATCCATTGTGTAGAGATGGCACACTGAGTCTGTCCACTGAGATATATCTCCGATCGCCAAGTGCGTTCTGAAGAGAGTTAGAGATGAGGAGCTGAGGGAGATCTGAACCAGTTCTAAATGGCTCCGTGCAGCCAGCAAACACAGGGGCACAATGTATGTGCCGTGTCGTGTAGCAACTGAACGTTGCTGCACTGAACTCTGACCCAAGTGGAAACATGCATTGTTGCCCCACTCAGAGATGATGGCCAACTACACACACACACACACACACACACACACACACACAGTGAAAAGATGACTGCCATCTTTGAGTAGGGCGCCAACACCCGTTTTCTACTCAATCCACATCTAACTTTCAAGAGATCAGGTTGCACCCAAGCAGATATATGCACACTCATGTTTGGTGCAGCTTTGTACACAATAGCAAAAACGTTGCAAACAACCCAAGTGCCCATCAACAAATGAATGGACAGAGAAGCTGTGGTATATTCACACAGTGGAATACTACGCTGCATTGGAAAACAAGGAACTCATGCAATATTATTCAAAATAGGTGACCCTGGAGGACATTATGCTGAGCAAAGTATCTCAGTCACAAAAGGACAAATACTGCATAGTGTCACTGTTGTAAGACGGGACTGACATCAGGGTTGGGAGGAAAGTAAGAGGGGGTAAATAATGGATACTGCATTGAAACAGATGAGGGAGAGAACTGTTTAAAAGGAATATATAATTAGGTATTATTGTCATGATAGGAGTCCAGAATGAAAACTGCATATTGAGTGGACTGGTGGTGGTGGGGTGTTGTATAACAATGAAAGAAGTTTCTTACTTTTCAAAGAGAAAAGCAAACTGTGGGGGAGGGGTGGGCGGGGAGGAAAGTGCAACAATGAATGAATGGAAATCCGAAGTCTCTGTAAACTTTCATTAAAATAAAAGAGAGAGATCTGGTTGCTGTGCAATACAGACACTGGCTTGTTTCCATCAGCCGCCGTGAAACCATTTCAAACAGGTTCACGTTCTGTGAAGAACATAGATGTAAAAAAGCAAGGCTGTGCAATGTGATTTAGAAATGACCAAGCTGAAAGGCAGAATAAAAAATGGCTTCGCTAGAAGGGAGAAATCAGAGATCCCTTCCTGGCCACCTGGCCATGGGCATGGTCACACGTGTGAGAGATGGGATGAGTCACTGAGCATTCTGGGGGTTCTGTCAGTGCGGCCCAGCAAGCCGTCTGTGGGGAAGCTCCTTGCGCTAAGCCCTGGGCTCGATCCTTCTCTTAGATGATGTTTCTCTAACGTGCCTTAACTTTTCTGCAGGAAACATGGTGGAATGGTGCTTACCTCAAGACATCGACCTTGAAGGGGTGGAGTTCAAATCTATGGCCAGTGGCTCTCACAAGATCCAGTCGGATTTCATGTGAGTCCCGGTGGCCCTCTGCTCCCCCTTCTCTCCGCTGTGTCTCCCTCGTGGCCTCGGGGAATGACCACGTGGGAACAGTCTCGTTTCTGCACCAGCATTTCCAACAAGAAGATCTTGGGTTTTGTCAGGTTCTCTGTGGGTTTCATGAACAGTTAAGAACTCCCACCACAGATGGTTGTGCACCTTCTAACAAAGGACGTGGCCCTCACTAGAGGTTCGGGTGGGATCAAAGGGGGACGTTTCAGCTCCGCTCACTTCGGGTTACGTGATGAGAGGAAGCTGTCCGTGGTAAGGGGTTGTTTTGCTCGTGATTAAACGAGCTAACTGAAACCATGCTGGACACAAGTGAAGGAAGAGGAGGAAGTCAAACGGCAGCTCTGCTCGCGACCTGCTTATGATGAGACTCAGGGCGTGCTGGCGTGGGGGATCCACGTGGCTTACGCTCATGAAGGAGTCCGTTGTGCTGGTGTTAGGTGCCGTCCTATGACTTAGAGTGACCCTATGAACAAGTTAAAGCCTGCCCTGTCTTGAACCATCCTCCCAGTCTCCCCCAGGCCCCAGCCCATTGCTGCAGCCACTGTGTCAATCTATCTCATTGAGAGTCTTTCTCTCTCCGCTGACTTCTGGTTTCCCAAGTGTGATGCCTTTTCCCAAGGACTAGTGCCCCTGACAGCAAACCCCAAGTGTGTGAGACGTTTGACCAGCCTTGCCTGCAAGGAGCACCGAGGTTGCACACCGCCCTCAAAGACTGGCCTTTTTTCTGGATCTCCATCCAGTCATTAGCTCTGATACAGGAGAGCAGGGATGGATGGTCCATGGTCCAGAGCAGTAAGACAGCAAAACTGCCAGCGGCCCCATCCTGGTCCCAGAACTGAGGCCTTGATCTAGGGTCTTGGCTGTCTCGTCAGTGGGGTTGTGTGACTGAGGGTATCACTAAAGGATGTCGCAGATGGAGACCACGCCACGCGACTCTCAGAGGGAGGGGCACCAGAATGACAGGCCACAATATTTTTGTGCAGTGTCTCAGCAGAAATGTATTATTTAGTACAAAATGATCCTGTGGTTAGTTGTAACAAGAGAAACATCTCTGTGAGCCCGCTTGGCACGTATGCCTGTGGCTGCCAGGCTGGTGCGTTCGGCTGACTGGCTTTGTGAGTCTCTGCGTGCGCGTGGGTTGTGCTGTCAGGATCACTCACAGTCATGCTTCTGGTCACGTGACTTTGACAGCACACTCGCACTGTCGTTTCTGCTGCCGCCAGTGTTTTCATCGTCACTGACTTTGTGAAACTGCCTGGCGTTTTAGCTACCTGTGAATGTACGTTTAAGCAGTGACAACTGTATTTGTACATGTTGGGGGCAGTCCTGGGAGAAGTCCATCATGTCTGGAAAAGTAGAGGGTCAGTGAAAAAGAAGACCTCAAAAGGATGGTGGACAGAGCATGTCAGCAGGGGCTTCTGCACCGCAGAGACTGCGGGTGGTGGGGGGGGTCAGGCAGGGCTTCGCTCTGTCGTCCACGGGATCACGATGAGATGCTGCTGGCTCTGTGTCAACCACCCCCGGCGACAGGACTTCTGCACGGGCTGGGATGGGAGATCCTTGTGGGGCAGGGGACACCAGCTCGGCTGCCAGCACTGGAGTGCCTTGGACTAAATGTTCTCCAAGGCTCCCACAAGGTTTGTTTTCGGGCCAGACTTTGCCGTTTGGAGGACTGTTGTTGTTGTTGTGCACCATAGAGTCAGAACAAACACATAGCTGACCCTCTGGCGGTTTTCACAGGTTGTTAATTGCACGGGAGGAAACTGCCCATCTTTCTCCTGTGAAGCAGATGGTGGCCTCGAACCGCTAACCTTCAGGATTGCAGCACAGTTTCTTGCCACTGGAGCTCCATATTTGGAGCACGAGACATGATTAATTTGCTTGAGTTGGGACGGTATCTCGAAGATAAACTGATCCTCAGGATATATGATTAGGGAGTATTATCATGACAAGAGTCCAGAATGAAACCTGCATAGTGGAGTGCACTGGGGGCAGGGGTTGTATAACAATGCAAGGATTTTTTTAAAAAAAAAAATTTTTTTTAAATTGTCAAAGAGAAAAGCAAACTAGGGGGGAGGAGTGGGCAGGCAGGAAAGTGTGCAACAATGAATGTATGTAAAAAAGTAAGAAACAAAAACAAAACCCTGGTCCTCAAGTCTGGGATTTTGAGGCACACCACACATTGCATTCGGTCTCTTCCAGCTATTTCCGGAAGGGGCCCTTCTTCGGCCTGGCCTGCTTCGCCAACATGCCGGTGGAGAGCGAACTGGAGCGCGGCGCCCGCATGAAGTCGGTGGGCATCCTCTCGCCCTCCTACACCCTGCTCTACCGCTACATGCATTTCCTGGAGAACCAAGTGCGGTAGGTGGCGGGAGTCTCCGGGCGGCAGCTGGTGGTGCTGCGATTGGTGTAGCCATCGCCCCATCCCTGGGCTTCAGGTGGTTGTTCTGACCCAGTATCCATGTGGGCCAATTATGGTTGGTGTCCGTGCGGTTATGGCGTCCTCAGAACGGAGCCATTGGGCCACAGGCTGCTGGCAAGAGACTGCTGGACACAAATCGCACCCTGGAAAGGGGTGCCACTCTGCACGGGCCCCCGCAGGAAGTGGGGGCTCCAGGCTCAGTATGCTCGTCCCAGAGCCTGGGGTGAGACTGAACTGTGGCCTGGTTGACAGCCGTGACTGTAGCGACCATCACAAGCATGAACACCCTTCCATTCTCGGGTCTTTCTTTTCTCCACTGTTGTTTCTGTCCTCTGGCCTGTTCTCTGAGCATCTGTCATCCAGGGGAAGCGTGGGATGGGAGTGCCGTGCTCATGTGGGACCCCTCTGCCTCCTTGAGAGAGGACCAGCCATGGGGTCTGCTCTGTCCATCACCAGCGCAGCTGGAAGACGTCATCTTCACAAAGACTGTCTTCCTACGTGTCTGGTTACCTTTCTCAGGAAGAGGGAGGAGGGATGGGTGTCATTCCACCCATCAAACAGGGAAACTGAGGCTGGAGCTGGCCCCAGAGAGTTCTTTCATTTCTGCCACCTTCTAGTCAGGTGACCGAGATCAACAACCAGACACACCAGGCAGAAGGAGCTGTTGGGGGGAAAGGGGTGTGCCCAGACCCAGCTGATGACTGTCCTACCGGCCTTTACTGGTCAATCTCTGCATGAATGTTATGACTTACGGGGACCCAGAGTCCTTCAAAAGCAGAATTAAGTCTCTTGCTGCCGAGACTTTGAGGAGTAGAGTCATCTCCATCTAGACCAGCTGTCCACCAATCCGAGGACCATAAAAAAATGTGTCATCAAAGTGACATCTCAGCTTTTTAAAACTTCCAGGAGGTCTTTGCCACCATCTGTCCCCACTTCATACATAGTCTGATTTTGTGGCTTCTGCTCCCAGGGGCATCGATTACTGAATCGAGTAGGATGAGTCACAGGTGACTCGACGTCACACAACAGGATGGGGTCCGCCTCCCGTCTTTCAGTGTTGTGCGGCGGCGACTGATGTGTTGCTGTGAGGCCGGGATCTCTCCCACGAGTACTGCAATCCCAGCAAGACCGTCTGTGGGAGACTGACTTCAGTGGAGCTTCGGACCGAGAGAGACCAGGAAGAACAAGAGTACATAGCCCTAAACGCAGAGCTGATCCCCAGAGAAGAGCATCATTTATGGGTCATTTTAAAAAATGGAATTGGTGTTACCTTTTTTTCTTTTTAAAATGTAAGCTTCCTGAAGGTCTTATGATGGGCTTGTCCTGTGTCCTCCTTTATATGAATGGTCTGAACCTTAAGGGCAGCCTGACCAACATGGCGGATCAGACTTGAAAGAAGGCATGTGTGAGAGACCACAGCCTGCAGGTCATTCTGTCTGTCTACTCTATCTACCCTCCCACACACACCAGAAGAATGAGATGCCTCCACTGTCTGCTTCACGCTGAGGAAAGCCTGCTAATAGCCAGGGTTACCAGGAGGAAGGGCAGCCCCAGTGTGGGAGGTGAGGTGGTGCCACGTCTGGGACACAGATGCCAGAGAGTGACTGGCTACCAGCTGGACAGCGAGATCACTGACCCTGAAGAGCAACTGAGGATGGACAGAGGAGTGGGTGGTCCCCAGGTTGGCCATCTGAGGAGGTCCCCACCTTGCTCAGTGAGGCTGTATTCCTGGTCCTTCTCTTTACATGATGGGAATTGCAGAGAATATAAGAAGCTGCAGGAATGCCTTAATTCCCTGGTGCTGTGGTAACAGACACCACGAAGGGGTGGCTCTAACAAGCAGAAGCCATTCTCTCACAATCAGGACACTGGGGTCCCCTCTCAGGACACCAGCTCCAGGGGAAGGCTTTCTCTGTTCTCTCTAGGGTAGGCCCATGGCATTACTCGTCGCCTGGGTCTAGGTGGTTCTCAGCACAGGGCTCTGAGGGTAACCTCCTTCCCCTCCCTCCCACCCCGTAACCACGCGTGAACTCTGGTCTCTGGGCATTTGCCTATTTCATCCCAGTGGCGTCACACACTATTGTCCTTTAGAGTCCGACTTCTTCACTCAGCACCTCATTTCCAAGGCTCCTCTGCCTGGTAGCAGAGATGAAGACCTCATTTCTCTTTCTGGCTGAGGAGTGTTCCACTGACGGATGGACTCTATTGCATGCCCCTCTGTTAATTTTCACCTCTTGGTTATAGTGGATGATGGTGAACACTCGTATCTGAACCATGTTCTTACACCGGCAGACCCCACTATGTCCAGTCATCTGAGAGTGGACACTGGGCTTGCTTCCACCTTTGGGTGACTGGATCACACGCAGTGAGCTCTGTTGTCCATGTGAATGATGCTCTCTCTGACGTTAGTATTCAGGGCGGAAAGGAGAGGCCTTGGATCACGAACACCCAGTGAGAACTGCCTTTCTTACTTCAGACATTGTATAAAAAGTGGCTTTTCCTAATCTTTTCAGATAATAAAGAGCAGATAAGCATGGGTCCCAGATAGCGTGGCTCTCTGTGCCTCCATGTGCTCCCTCCCCACGTACAGGAGCGGGCATATCTCAATCTACAACAGGTGTTAGTCATGCGCTGTTAGCCCCATGAGATGGGGACGGTGATATGGGGCTATCGGGGTGTCAGGCTCACATATGAGCGTCTCCGACAAGTCCTTCTGCAGCACCAGCAGGGGAGACCCCACAGCCTCAAAGATGGGGTCATCTGAGTGTCTTGGGGCCTTTGGTCCAGTCCTGTTCTCACTATCCCTGCGTGTGTCCACATGGGTGCAAGTTGTGTTTGTGTGTGCTCGTGTCCGTGTGTGTTTGTATGTTGTATGTGTACCCTCTGTGCATGTGCTGTTGTGTGTGAACATGACACACATGGGTGTGCTGTGTGTACACGGTCGTGTGTGTTTGTATGTTGTATGTGTACCCTCTGTGCATGGGCTGTTGTGTGTGAACATGACACACATGGGTGTGTTGTATGTACACGGTCATGTGTGTGTGTACACATATTGTATGTGTTGTGCACGTGTGTGCTGCAGGCACCAGCTGGAGATGCCAGGACACTACTCACACCTGGCTGCCTTCTATGAAGACAAGAAAGCGGGGCTCCATGATGGTCCCGGAAGAGGTCTGCCGCCCGTCTACTGGCTGCCTTCCATCCACCGCTACATGTACCCCGAGATGAAGGTGAGGGTGCAGTGCCATTGATGATGGGTCACCAGTGAGGAGCTTATGCTTGGGCTCTGCCTTTAGAACAGAGGATGGTACCCTAAGCAGTCGCATAAGCTTCCCCCTCCAGGTTTATTTTAAATTGGTTTGCTTACAAAACTTGTATATGCTGTGCTGTTCACACTATTGCTCATTCACACTGTGTTTCATGCAATCAGTCCCATGCGTTATGTTTTACAAAATTCATCACCATTGGACCTTGCACATCATCACCCTGTCTTTTCACCAGGATCCTTCCCACTTCCTTCCCCCACTCTCTCTACCCGCCAAACCGCAGTCCTGTGCTCTCACCCCTACCCCTCCTCACCGCTCTGCTCTCAGTCACATAAACTTGCATGGTGTCAGGAAGGTTTTCTTCAGCCACGTGCGTCTGAGGGATGCGGACGAAGAGTGCAGAGTTGTAAACAAGAGGGCAGCTGCAGGGTGGGTGGGTGTGGGCAGGGCTTCTGCAGGGGCGGTGATGAAGCTTCAGGTAAGGAAAACTGGATATATGAATGAAGGCTGAAGAGTCAGAGGAGTGAGAATGATGTCCTCTCAGTTGTGATAATTTAAATTGCTGCTTTATTGGGCATTTTTCTGGGCACCTGGTCTTTGGTATGAAAACGTCTGTTCACCTTCAGTGGTCCATCTGCTGGGGGGGAGGCGAGTCAGGACAAGGACCCACGTCCCTTCCCTCCTCCACGTGCGTGCTCACAGGCCGCTGGGGCTCGCGGCTCCCGTCGTGTCCTCCCAGAGCCCCATCGTAGCCCTAAGTACACTTTTTTGCTGAGGGAAACTCACTGCAGACACACGTGGCTCCTGGCTTTCCAGTGATGGCCTCAGCTGTGTTGATGCCGTACCCCACTCCCGAGAGAAATACTCATTGTCCCCCATCATTCATGGTGACCCCTGCACAGGGGATGAAACGCTGGCTGGCCCTGTGCCCCCTCGAAGCTGACCGGTGGATGATGATGCGCCCTGATCGTCACTGGCTGGTCACCAGGCCTTGCTTCGGCCTCCGTGGTCTAGAAGCTCCACTGAAATCCGCTCAGCATCCTAGCAACACGCTGGCAGACGGTGGGCTGTGCTTGAAGAGCACCCGCCCGGCGTCAGACCTGGGTCTCCTGCAGGGGAGGCGAGAGCTCTGTCCCTCATCCAGCTCTCCGCCATCCACCCAATCTCAGCTGCCAGCGACCCTGCAGGACAGAGCGGAACTGCCCACAGCGTCCCCAAGGCCGCCATCTTCACCGAAGCTGATGGCTTCCTCTTCCTCCTGATAAGAACCTGCCCTCTGGTAGGCAGTCCACCGCACCACCAGTGTGCCCAGCGTAGCGGTCCCTGAGCCCTGCTTCCACGTGGCATTTCTCCATGGCCAGAGGAGGGCACACTGCTGTCCTGCATGAACGCCAGGGCCCTTCGGCAGCTGTGCTGGGATCTGTGCCCCCGAAGTTTTTGCAGGATGGAGTTCAGCACCTGCCCACTGCCCTCTGGACACCCCCAACTTGTGACGTGGCCCCAAGTTTCCAAGGTTGTCGATCTTTGTGAAGGAGCCTGCCTGCGTTTCTCCATGGAAGGGCTGGTGGATTTGAACTGCTGACCACCTGGTTGTTAGGGCAGTGCTCCCTCTGCCAGCAGGCAGCCAGTCCCGTGGGGATGCCGGCTTGGCTGTACTCGTCACCATGCCCCTCTCTCCTCACCTGCCATCTCTCCCCAGATCACTCACCCTGCTGGCTGCATGTCCCAGTTCATCCGCTTCTTCGGGGAGCGCATCCTCACGCTCTGGAAGTTCGCCCTGCTGCGCAAGCGGATCCTCATCTTCTCCCCGCCGCCTGTGGGCGTGGTGTGCTATCGAGGTGACCGGGCCTGCGATGCTGGGATCTCCCCAGGGCTGACCAGAGCAGGGCTTGGGCCAGCTGCAGGGGGCAAGCCTGGGAGTGGCCTGATGGGTTAGGGGTGGGTTGGCCCTGTCCTCTGTCCCCCAACCCTGGGGCATGACTGCAGAGAAGGACCCCCACTAGGGCTGTGGGGCAGAGGAGGCCCTGCTGAGCACCCCAACCCTCCACCCGGGGATGTGATCGCAGAGAAGGAACCCCTGTCACTGGGCTGCGGGCAAATGTGACCCTGCTGAGACCCCTACTACCCTAGGATGTGACTGCAGAGGAGTACCCCCACCCCTACCCCCAGGGCTGCAGGGCAGATGTGGCTCCTCTGAGCTCACCCCCACCCCCTCTACCCTGGGATATGACTATTCAGACCTGGACCTCCGCCCCTGGCTGGGGGGCAGTCACAGCCCTGCTGAGCCCCCCACTCCCCACAGTGTACTGCTGCTGCTGCCTGGCCAATGTCTCTCTGCCTGGTATCGGGGGCACCATCCCTGAGTCCAAGCCCTTCTTCTATGTAAACGTGGCCGACATCGACAGCCTGGAGGTGGAAGTGTCCTACGTGGCCTGTGAGTAGGGGCCGTCCACCTTGCCCCAGGCCTGCTACCGCCAGACAGAGCCCCACACCCCCAGGGTCTGGCTGGCACCTCACCTCGTCTCAGGGGTCACACTGGTGCCCCTCACTCATCACTGGGGCTCAGCTACTGTCCTTTCACTGCTCCATCCCCTGGGGTCAGGCCAGCACCCCCACATCCCTGAGAGTCAGCTAGCATCCCTCTCCATCCCTGGCCTCAGCCTTTCATCCATCCCTGGGGGTCAGCCAGGGCCCCTTCCTACAGCTCAGCTACCAGCTAGTGCCCCTTACCTGTCTCTGGGGGTCAGCTGGGGCCCCTTCCCACATCACAGACCCACGTCCCAGCCGGCGCCCCTCACCTGTCCCTGGGGCTTGGCCAGTGCCCCCTGCGTGCTGATGCCCGCGCCTTGCCCCCGCCTCAGGCACCACAGAGAAGATTTTCGAGGAGAAGCGTGAACTCTACGATGTCTACGTGGACAACCAGAACGTGAGGACGCACCACGACCACCTGCAGCCCCTGCTCAAGATCAACAGCGCGGACAGGGAGAAGTACCGGCGGCTCACGGAGCAGAGGTGTGTTCCCCGAGGGGCCCCCAGTCACCCAGCACCCACACACACGCACGTGCTCGCGGGACCCCAGGAAAGAGGTGAGCCTTAGATACGGGCTACTGTCACCATCACCGCTTCAGAATCGCTTAGGGAAGGCCTGGCACATGCCTGGGTGACCCAGGGCAGAACTGGTCCTGGACCGTGCTTCACATTTAGATCCCATGTCCTGTGTCCATCAGGCCCTCCCCTCCCTACCTTTGCACGAGTGTGGCTTCCTGTGGGGCGGGGCCTAGGAGGGAGGCGGGGCGTGGGCGGGGCGTGGGACTGACCACCCCCTCCACAGGCAGATGCTGCTGTATTCCCAGGAGGTGGAGGGCGACCATAACCCCTGTGAAGAGGACCTCTTTGTGCTGTGAGTCAGCCCTGGGGCCCAGAGACCCCCCAGCCCTAGTGTCCCTCCCACCCTTCCCTGCCCTGTCACAGTCCAGGATGGCCTTGATCTCTGCCGGGCCATGAAGAGCTGGGCTTTGCGGGCACCATGAGCCTGAGATGTCTGGGGTGCCCAGGTAGCTAAGCTCAGCTCTGAGAAGCAGAGGGCATCTGGGCCCCAGGGGATTCAGGAGGCATTCTGGCACTGGCGTAGTCGTGGGCAGCCAGGGGGCAGTTGGGGGTCACCCAGCACTTGGGGAGTCAGGGTGTCTTGATGTCTGTGGGGGCCCCAGGTTAGGGGCATCCAGCTGTCTCAAGGGGAGAATTGTGAGCATCCGAGTGCCAGGAGTTAGAAGCTGTGTGGACACCTGTGGGGGCTGTTAGGAGGTGACTTGGCACTGGAGAGAGTTGGAGGGTGTCTTGGCACCATAGTGCCTTAGAAGGAGGAGCTGGGACACCCCAGCTCTCTTCTTTCTTAGAGGACATTTATAAATGACATGAAGCAGGCTGATAAGCATCGAGTACCGAGGGTGTATGAGGGGTCCCGCGGGCTGGGATGCTGTGGACTGGGACAGGTGTGAGCTGGACCCCCGTGGGCTGGGATGCAGGTGCATTGGGACAGGTGTGAGCTGGACCCCCTGTGGGCTGGGATGTAGGTGCATTGGGACAGGTGTGAGCTGGACCCCGTGGGCTGGGATGCGCGTGAACTGGGACAGGTGTGAGCTGAACCCCCTGTGGGCTGGGATGCAGGTGCATTTGAGACAGGTGTGAGCTGGACCCCGTGGGCTGGGATGTGTGTGCACTGGGACAGGTGTGAGCTGAGCCCCCTGTGGGCTGGGATGCAGGTGCATTGGGACAGGTGTGAGCTGAACCCCCTGTGGGCTGGGATGCAGGTGCATTGGGACAGGTGTGAGCTGAACCCCCGTGGGCTGGGATGCAGGTGCATTGGGACAGGTGTGAGCTGGACCCCCGTTGGCTGGGATGCAGGTGCATTGGGACAGGTGTGAGCTGAACCCCCTGTGGGCTGGGATGTGGGTGCATTGGGACAGGTGTGAGTTGAGGTGAGAGCCTTATCTGATCTTTCTGCCCTTCCAAATGTAGGTTTTTCCTAGAACAGAACAATCGCATATTCCAGACCTTATTGGAGGTGTCTGCGAGCCAGGACAAGACGCTGACCGCCGAGCACGCTCGCGGCATGGGCCTGGACCCCCAGGGGGACCGCAGCTTCCTTCTGGACCTGCTGGAGGCCTATGGCATTGATGTAATGCTGGTCATCGACAACCCCTGCTGCCCCTAGCAGGGGGCTCCACTGGGCCCTAGGGGCCTCGTTTTATACTGACACCGGAGTGTCGTTTATACTTCCCTACATTGTGATTTTTTCCAATTTCCTTCCATCCCTTCTTCCCTACGGGTAAGATAAGGTCCTCTTGACTTTGTGTCCTGGTTGGGAGATGCTGGGATCTACCACTTTCTCTCAAGAGCCAGTGTTCCCTGGGCCTGTGGTCATAGGAGTAAGAAGAAGGGAATTATGTGAAGGAATCTGGCCCTGAAAATTTTGGCATGGCTGCCTAGAAAGTCCGTAGTCTCTGTCAGTGTGTCTGCTCAAGACAAGACACTGGGTTCTTAGAGATGGGCCTCTCTGCTTGGCGGCTGAAGGTCCCTCCTGTTCTACAAGCCAGTTCTCTGGGGCCTTGTTGTTTTCCTGGATGTTGGACCAAAACTCAGCCTCTGTGTTCCCTATGGGGACCTCAGAGGAAGACCAGTGTGACACCATCATGAGCTTTGCTGAGAGTGAAAGTGCTGGAAAGAAGGTTTGAGATCCCCCCAGGGCTGCTGGTGGAGGCCCCCCATGGCAAGCACGGGTCCTCTGATGCCTGTCCTCTGGAAGAGCCCCTGACAGCCATCCCTGGCCTGGATGTGAGCCAGCAAGTTCATCTCACCGTTAGCCACCAAAGGACCTGTATGGGGATAGTGACAGATGGAGTTCCCCACCTCACAGGTCCGACGGTGGTCTGAGCAGGACAGAAGTGACGTTTACTCACTGAGGTGGGAGTTCACTGGTGAATCAGTGGAGTTTCTGGACCAGATGCCCCTGAGTCCAACCCCAGCAAGTGCCACGGCTGGTTCCCTCTGCTGACACTCTTCAGGGGGCCACTTGGTCCGATCCTCCAGACATCTCTGTGGCAGAGCTGCCCCTGCTGAACTCAGCCAGAGGGCCAGAGACCTGGCAGTTGGGGTTAAGGGCAAAGTCACCAGTGACGACTCCTGCACGTGACCAGCGGCCCTGAGTGCTGGGGACAGCGGGCTTCTGGGGGTGCTCTGCTCGGGACCAGGCCACTGGCGTCCTGCTTGGTCCCTGGCTGGCACTGAGGAGGCCATCCATCTCCAGAGGGACAGTGCCTTGTCACGGCTCCTGCTTTCTATGGCTCAGTGCAGGGACAGAGGCCTGTATGTCCACACGCTGGCTGGTTCACACTCAGCCGAGCTTTCTGCTGGACAGCCCACACGGCGTAGCAAGATCTGGTCTCTTGGGTGTGTTGGGTTTTTTCTGGAGATGAGAGAAGTGGGTGTGGGAGTGTGGCAGCCGTGGTCCTAGAGGGGCCCGTGTTCGCAAACAGGACACAAGTGGAAGCTCCATGCTGGTTTCTGCAGGCCTCTACCCCAAACCCATAGGAAGCAGAAGCTGCTGCTCCCCCCACAGTACCAGCTCCCCTCTCCCAGAGCACCCTCTCCTCTCCCCCTGGAGCACCTCCCCCCTCAGAGCACCTCCTCTCCCCCTGGAGCACCCCCTCTCTCCCTGGAGCACCTCCTCCACAGCACCTCTCCTCCCTCGGAGCACCTCCCCCTGGAGCACCTCCCTCCATTGGAGCACCTCCCTCCCCCTGGAGTATCTCCTCTCCCCTGGAGCACCTTCCCCACAGCACCTCCCCTCCCTTGGAGCACCTCCCTCCCTCGGAGCACCTACCTCCCTCTGGAGCACCTCCCTCCCCCTGGAGTACTGTCTCCCCTCTGCTGGACCACCATCTTCTTCCTCCCCCCTCCCCCATGCAGATGGGGCCCTTCTAATCTGGCCCAGGAACAAGTGCTGTAACTAGTGGTACCCACAGCTCAGAGGTAAGGAGCCAAGGAAGGCCAGCAGCTGGAACATCAGGGGATGAAAGGACTCCTGGAGGACACAGCACCCCCTCTTCCCGTGGAACCTGCCAGACAGAGATGCTCCGTAAGCCCCACCTTCCCAGAGCCCTCCTGGGTGGGAGCTCTCGACGCAGGGCATTTGACCTCTTAGCTCAAGGGGCGCTGGGCAATGTGAAGTAAGGGGTGTTGGTGAGAAAGTTGGGGGTGAGATTTCTGTGCTTCCCCTGAGTCACAGCCAGGCTCTAGATTCATTTAACCACGCTTACTCTTGGCAGCTGTCTGGCTGGCTGTCCAGGTTCCCAAGCTCACAGGCCAGGAGGAGAGGGAATGGATGAGGCAGGGAGCATGTCAATTTAGGGGCCTGGGGTGAAGCCAGCTTAAAAGGAATCGCCTTTTGCAGAGGGATTCACAGATTGGGCCTCCCCCCACTGCCAGCTCCGTTACAGGGCGCACACGTCAGCTTACCTGTCTTCAGTTTCCAGCACCTAAGAGTCTTGTCTGGAGGTGACAGGGACCCCGCTGCCAATGTCTGACGGTCCAGGCCTGCTCCCCAAGTGGGCTCTGTCTTGTCTGGTGGTGATGCAGAGCCCCGCTGCCAGTGTCTGAGGGTCCAAGGAATGTCTAGGGGTGACAGGGACCCTGCTTCCTGCTGCCAGTGTCTGAGGGTCCCGGGCCTGTCTGGGAATGACGGGCTCTGCCCCTGGTCCCCGGGTGGGTTCAAAGTGTACTTTGTCCGGGGGTGATGGGGGCCTTGCTGCTGGTGTGTGAAGGTCCTGGTCCTGCTCTCCAGGTGCGCTCTGGTTTGTCTGGGGGTGATACGGAGCCCTGCTGCCCAGGTGGGCTCACTGGAGAAACCACCAAGGGCTGGAGGCTGGAGCTATGCTCCTGAAGCTGTCTACTCACGGAGTAGGTGGCTCCGTGTCACTGTCCCTTTGTCCATCAGCCCTGCAGGGGCAGGGCCCCCCAGGCATCCTGGAGCAGGTGGGAAGGCCACACCCACAACTCCCCTTTCCTCCCTTCTCCTGCTGGCCCTGTGAGTCTTGGTGACATGTAGCCTGAGCCATGACCTGCTGTAACCGACTACTTCCCATCACCTGGATCTGGCCAGTGGGACCCCGGAGGAACGACTCCTTGTAGGGGCTGCAGTGGAGGCTGAGAATAGGTGAATATTCATGCCTAAGTGATGGAGACTCGTCAAAGTGGCCCTCTGTGCTTGGGACTCCAGGAGATGGTCACACTGGGCCTCTGGGGACTCTGCCAGCTCTCCTCTGGACCGCCCCCTACTGGTGACACAGGCTCACGATATGTCTGGAATTCACTTTGGCTCTAGTTAAACATCAGACTCTCCTTGCTGCCATTGTCCCAATGAGTCCCCAGGGCGCGATGGGGGGGGGGCTGCAGTACTTCCTCTGTCATCACATTCGCTGTGGGAGGAACTCAGTGCAGGCATTGCACCTGTAACCTGTTCAGTTCCACAAAAAGTCAGGGTGAGAAGCAGCATGTAAGGTGCAGGGTCCAGCACCACACTGAAGCCCCACCCCAGCACCCAGACCCAAGATGCATAGCTGAAGACCAAGGTGAAGCCAGGTCCTGGTCTGATGCTTGCAGGAGGATGAGCTCTTAATGTCACCACATGGTCATCAAACGTCACAAAGGATTCGAGCACTTATTTTGAGGACTGGCTTGCAGGGCACCTTTCTGGGGCAGCTGTGATTAAAATGTCCATGGTGGGACCTCAGGGGCCGCGGCTGTCCAGAGTTCAGAACCCCCACACTCATCTGTGGACCGGGGGAGAAGGTGCTTCCGGATAGCTTTACAAGGTCGAGTCCAGCTGGGCTGAGGACCTGCCCATGTGAAGGCAGATAGGCCGGGGACATAGGTTGCCAGGGCAGCGGGATTCCACCCCAGAGAGGTGTGGCCAGGCCCCATCTCCCCATCCGGCCCCCATGGCAGCCTCCCACCACCCCGCACCCGTGAGCAGGTCGTGTCCTGCACATCCACAGTCGGGGCTGACCTCCAGGGCAGGCCCAGGCATCTTCATTTCAGGAAAGCTCCTCTCTGGTTCAGACAGGAGACGGAAGCATCCTTGAGCTCCTCCGTCCTCCTGGTTACCTCTAGTCCACGTTTACGACAAGTAGACCTGTTTCTACCAGCTGTGGGGCCCCGGGCTTGGGGAAAGAGCAGCCAACTGTGCACCCAGCTACCGTTTCTCTTACCAGAAATGGAAGCTTATTTTTTATCGCCATTACTGTGTGATGACTGACTGGAGTATGCCCATGTGGGAATGGAAGGTGAATTCAGAACAGGATCCAAGGAGGCCAAGGCCCCGGGGCGTTTTATTCTGGAAAGGCCTCAGGGGTCTATGGGACATGCCAGGGGCATCCTACCAACCCTCTGGGCTCCTGGCTGATGTGAGGGAGACAAGTGGGGGTTCGCCTGACCTCTGGCACTTTATTCATCTTTGGCACTGCAGTGTGGGGGCAGCTGCATGGAACTGCCAAGGGAAAGCCTGCAAAACATTTTTAGGGAGTGGCACTTGGAACAAAAACTGTGAGGCCAGCCTGGCCACCAGTACCAGAAGTGGAGACACTACCTATCTGCAGGGGAATTTAGGGCACAGCAGAGGGGAAGCAACATTCACTCTGACATGCCCAGAGCTTGGAGACTGAGGTATTTCCAAGTCCAGAAAACAAATCCTTTCTGGAACAAACTTTTGCAGCTTTGGAAACGCCACCTCCTTTTTTTTTTCTTAGTTATGCTCAGCATAGCTTCCCTGTCCTCTTAAACAGAAACCCTGTATTTTGACAAGACCCCAGCATAAGAATTCTAGCAATAAGAGAAACAAGTCTATTTTTGATTGCAGATTTACCTCGTGTTGCTAAGGTACTAAGGCAGTTCCTAGCTTCCGCACCCCACTGCACACTGAGCTTGGCCACACACCCTTGGTGCCGACGACTGTGACCTTGACGGCCTAGAGGGAGTCTCGCTCGATCCTAAGCCAAGAGCACGTGGGTCTTGAGTGGGTTTTGCTCTGCAGCATGAAGAACTTCCATGTGTCTGGAGTTATCTGGCCCAAGTTGTGTGCAGGGAGGTTGACATAACTATATTTACAGAAAATGATTTTTACAATTAAAGTTCACGTTTTAACAAGAGCCTGTGCGTAGCAGTTCTTCACTTAGACTAAGAGATGTGGTCCTTGGACAGAGGATCGAGGGGTCAGCCCCCAGAGGGCTCATAGGAGGCACATGACATTACAGTGATGGAGGAATGGGGGTGGCCCCTCAGCCCCGGGCAACGTGGTCTGGACGCTGGTTCCTCCACCCCACCAGCAACGTGTCCTGGACGCTGGTCCCTCCGCCCTGGGTGACATGGCCTGGACGCTGGTCCCTCTGCCCCCCCCTCGACATGGCCTGGACGCTCGTCCTTCTGCCCCACCCCTCCCCCCACGGTGACGTGGCCTGGACACTCGTCCCTCTGCCCCCACCCCCACACCCGGTGATGTGGCCTGGACGCTGGTCCCTCCGCCCTGGGTGACGTGGTCTGGGTAAGCTTCCAGGGAATGAACGTCAAAGCCAGGAGCAGTGACCCAGCCAGAGGAGTCAGGACCACAGTCCCCATCTCAGGCCATTTCTGGAGAAAACTCAGCAGTAACCAACTCCCTTTTCCCACAACATCTACAGCTGAAGTTTAGGGAGCGCTGGTCACCTAGTGCCTAGAAAGTTATGCTGCTAACCAGAGGCTACTCCAGCAGTTCAAACCCCCCAGCAGGAGAAAAATGGACAGTCTCCTCCAGTACAACAGACACTCGATGGAGGGTCAGTTATGACTTGGTCCCACCTCCGCGGCAATGGGAGAGGTCAAAGGTTAGTTTGAAACATTAAGTATTCTCTGTGGGAGAGACGCTCTGGTGGGACTGTGCTTGATGTGACACTTGGCTGCTAATGCCAGGGTGGGCATTTCAAGGCCGGCAATGGGTCAGTGGAGACAGCCCCCCATAAGGATGTACAGCCCCAGATGGCAGGAGGAGCCTTGGGTTTATTTATCTTTATATAAACACACAGACACACAGGGAGCCCTAGTGGGACAGACCTTGATCACAGACCTACCCAACGTGCCTTCTGATGCCTTGACTGCCAGCACCATGAGTGCTGACTATAGGTCGAGGTAAATCATTGACAACTTCAATCTTTTCTCCATCTATGATGTGGTTGTCTATCGGCCCTGTGGTGAGGGTTCTTGTTTTCTTGATTTTGACATAAAACACGTATCGAACGCTGTAATCTTTGATCTTCCGCAGCAAGTGCTTCAAGTCTTTCTCACTTCCTGAAGCCAAGGCTGTGTCATGTGCCTAATGCAGGTTGTCGACGAGTCTTGCCCGATCCTAATGCCACCTTCTTCATTCACATAGACTAGCTTCTCAAATTATTTGCTCAGCATACGGATTGAATATGTACAAGGAAGGATACAGCCCTGACACACACTTCGTGATTTAAAAACTGCAGTGTTCCCTTGTTTAATCCAAACATTTTCTTTGTCCAGGTAGATTTTCTTGTGGATGTAATTAAGAGTTCTGGGATTCCCATTCTTCTCAATGTCGCCCATAATTTATTATGACCCACACCGTCAAATATCTTTGCATAGTGAAGAAAACACAAGGAAACATCCTGTATACTCTGTTTTCAGCCAGGATCCACATGACATCAGAAATGGTATTTCTCCTCCATGCCTCTCCTGAGCAAGCTTGACTATCTGGCAGTTGCTTCTCCGTATACTGTTACAGCCTGCCTGTGTTAGTAATGACGGTGCGTGGTTTTCATTTTGGGGGGCACCTTTCTCGAGGTCGCCTGCAATTGGTCCGGTGGCTGGCTTCCACATTTCTTGGCAGGGTAGCGAGCACATGCAGGGCTTGTTTCATGAAACGCTTCAGTTGGTATTCTGTCGATTCTGGGGTCCTTATCTTTGTTGCCAATGCCTTCAGTGCAGCTTGGACGTCTCCCTTAGCTCCTGGTTCTTGGTTGCATGCTAGTTCCTAAAGCGGTTCAATGTTGACCAGCTGGTTTTGGTATAGCAACTCGAGGCCTGAATTGCCAGCTCTCTGAGCTTCAGAAATGTGCAGTGTGGTCTTCTAACTCCAGGATGGTCTCTGCACATTGTGTTCTAAGGCTTTGCTTTATCTCCGAGCTGCCCTTTCATTTGTAAGAAGTGATGCAATATGATGATAAGAAGTGATTAAAAAAGCTACTGTTCAGCTCGTATTTCCTCATTTCTGCCTTTTGTTTGAATTTAGCTTCTCTACGTTGAAGAGAAAGGTCTCTTCTGATAAGTATTTTTGGTCTTTCTTGTCTTTTTAAATGACGTTTTGCCTTCTGCATCTACGGTGTCCTTATCTATGATGTCTCTGATGTATCCCATAATGCATAAAGACGGGTGAAGAGGAGGGGACGCCTGTGAGCTGTGGTAATGGAGAGGAGTCCTGCAGACTGCATGGCCCGCCAGCGGAACAGACGAGGCTTGGGGAGGCAGCGTGGCCAGGGTGCTCCCAGAGCAGGGATGATGACAACTCGTTGCACCAACTTTGCCGTGTTGTCTGGAGGGTCAGCGCTGGGAAGGGCCGAGGGTTGGAGGCGAGGAAGCAGCTCCAGAGATGAACTGTGATAATGGCTTTGAGCATGGCAGAGGTGGTGAGGAGGAAAGGGCACGGTGCTGCCTGCTGTTCACAGGGCCTCTAGGACTCGTAGTCAACTCAGCGGCTCTCTGAGTTACAGGTCTGTAATGCTAAGTGAAAGGTCACTGGTTCAGATCCCCGGTCAGTCCTCAGGAGAAAGGCGGGCAGTCTCCCATCATGAGTCACTGCGCAGAAACCTGAGAGAGGGCGACCCCATGTCCGAATCTACCCCTGGACAGCGAGATCCTCCCATCTCTCGCTAACCACATGCACCTCAGACTCTGTCATCTCGAGGTCACTGCTGCCCCATCAGCTCCAGATTCTCAGTGGCCGCCTGTCAGGTGTCCCGGCTTGTAGGCGGCCCAGGAGATCACTCACCTTTCTTCCAAGGAGCCCAGGACTCGAGCTGCCCAGGGTACACAGCCTGTGGGCCGGCGGTGGCACTCGCCCGGTACCAGCAGCTCTGTGGTGCCTGGAGCCGTTTGCTGAACACTATTTGAAGCCAGTATAAAGGGTACTTGAGCCAATCTGCCGAGGTCATGCGGTCCCTGCTTCCTCCACCTGGCACTGTGGACTGTCCACCTCACCGGTCACTGGGTATGGGCAGTCCTGGCAGGTGGTGACTGTGACTGGACATCAAGTCCATGGATGAGACGGGGTGGGGAGACAGCTTGATATGAATCGTTGTTGTACCACAGAGTTGGAACCGGCCCATCGCTGACCCTTCAGAGGCTGTTAACGGCATGAGAGGAGATTGTCCATTCTTCTCCTGCGGAGCTGCTGGTGGCCTTGAACTGAATGCCTTTGGGACTGCAGTGCAGCTTCTTGCCACTAGGCCACCAGAGCTCCCTATAAAATCATTTAGCTGGAAAACTACTTTTAACAGAAAGCACCTCAGGTTCATACTAACCAGGGGTAGCGGTGTTAAGCTCCTCCTGGGCACCTGGAGCTCAGGTCTGGTGACAGCAGCTGCTCAATGTCACTGCCTCACGAGTCCCTCTGCAGTGACAGGACAACGGGACGAATGCGGCAGCCGACGGTGAGGATCAGGGCGCGCTGTGAATGCTGAGGCTTTGGAGGGAGGCACAGACCCACCAGCGCTGGGCAGCACCGGGTGTGGACGCCTTCTGCCGCCCGACTGTCCGTGGGCACCGCATCCTCACGGAGGACGGAGCTCTCCACACACCGCCACACTGTCTTCACTCTGCCATGGGCCCAGCGCACAGTACCCTGGTGGCCCGCGGTGAGAGGCTCCCAGGTGCCAGCCTAGAGCTTGGAGCCCGGACCCCACCAGCTCGGGAGCGCGGCGAGGCCTCTGCATTGTCCTTCAGGGCCGCTGTGCTGCACAGCCTTCCGGCTCCTCCCTCCTGACCCTCGAGGGCATGAGCTCCAGGCTGCAGTGCAGTCGTCCGGCTCCCCGCTCCCGACCGAAGGCTCAGGGCCTGCACGGCCCTCAAGGGTGTGAGCTCTAGACTCCCCACAACTTGGAGTGGCCCCATGAGACTGCTGTCCATCCAAGCGAGTCAGGTCACCTCCAGCTTTCTTCTGTCAACAAAATACAAGACCCTGAGCGGGACGTGGGCCGGGTGCTGCCGCCACCAGCCGTCCTGGGTCGTCCTCTCACTGGGGCTTCGTTACGGTTACAAGTAACGGACAGCATGACTCGAGCGAGTGAAGCTCTACCAGGCCTGACCAGCATGTCCTGGAAAGAGGAAGCGGCCTGCTTCTGTAAAGACCACCCCTTGGGAACACAGCGACCACTGTCTGTCACCCTCTGTCCATCAGCATCGCTGGGAGTCTGGGGGGCTCGCAGGCGGGGCTCTGTGACTCTGTGTGGACACGTGACTGTGGTCCTACTGATGGTCACCCTGACTCGGTAATGTCATTCCACAGGACAGTGTCAGGACAGGACACACGCCGTCTCACTACTCACCTGGGGCCTCTTCTGTGGAAATGAAAGGTCGGGGACGGACACTGTCACCTCTGGTGCGTGGACAAGCGCGCACTCCTGGGTGAGTGAACTAGTTAAAGAGCATTAGGACGATGTGGATGTCACCAGTCACAGCATCATCCTTTTGTCACGTGGGCAGCAGTAGCTAAAGTGCACTGGTGGTGCCGTGGTTAACTGGGCACTTGGCTGTGACCTGAAAGGTTGGCGGTTAGAACCAGCATCCGCTCTGTGGGGGAGACAAGGCATCTGCTCCCATAAAGACCTTCTGGGGCCCAAGGGGCTACAAGACGGACCTCACTAGACAGCCATCCCTGGCCTCTGTGTTAACGAGCAGGAGATGACAGATTCTGAAGCGAATTAACAGAGTAAGAACTTGAAACATAACTTCCATCTGTATATCTGTTGGCGAGAGGATGACAGGATGATCAAAAGCCAATGTCAAGTGCAAAGACCAATGACCACATGTGAACAGACTGCAGAGAGCAGACAGTAAGCATGTCCACGAAGAAAAGCCCACCTGAAGTTCCTCACTGCTGAGAGCTTGTCCGTTTATTTTTTAAGTGGGTGTGGAATGACTGTGGTACTGAAAATACACTGAGTATATTTTTAAAATGGTAGAACACTGTGGTCTTAAATGTCCGTATTCATGTGACACCAAAAAGTACATGATTTGGCAACTGTTTGACCCTTTGGAGACTCGACTCAGAGGACGCATCCCTGGCCAACGTTCCTGGGCTCCCAAGCTGCTCAGGGGAGCACATCCCAGTGCCGTATGTGGGCGACCTTGTGAAACAGCCCACACCCACCCACCCGGCCACCCAGACCACGAGTCCCACCCTGTGTACCAAATCTGACATCTTCAAAGTCAAGTCTGTTCCAGCCTTCCTTCCAGCAGGCATTCCACTAAAAAAACACAGGGCACCAACACCGTTCAAAGCAGAAAACCGGGAGGGGTGGTGGTGGGGTGGTCATGAAAGGGTCAGCTTAGGACAAATGCCAGGTGTCAACATAAACATCACGCCTCAACCACTCTGTAGAGGGCAGGGGGGTGGAGTACTCAAGCAGAAGTCTCCAGAACATGGCCTGACGGCCCTGCATGATAAGGCCACCCTGCCTGGGCTCCCAGGCCCCACGCACACCCAGAGGTTAGACCTGGGGGGACCGAAGCGAGCCAGCAATCAACAGGTTAGAGCAGCTCTGAGTCCCGCCAGGACACACAGGACCCAGCGTCTTACAGGCCAGCCTTAGTGGGTGGGGTCCCACCTGCTCCAGAACAGGAAGGAAATGAAGCAAGGTGCTGACAAGGGGGTGCTAGGGACAGTGTCCCCCAGGTTCTGGGAGGGCGTGCAGACCCAGAGGGAGCCTTCCAGAAGGAGCCAGGAGGTCAGTACTGAGGGTCGGCTGACACCCGAGACGAGGGTATGGGCATGGAGGGATGAAGGCAGGGCGGGGCAGGAATGCTGGCCATGCCGCGGGCCCAGGTGGCCTGCCCACTGAAGTCCTGCCTTACGGAGCCACCTCAGGTCCCTCTGCGTCAGTCCTGTCTGGAGCCGGCCGCTGCAGTGCCTGCTCCCGCTTCCGGGGGTCGCAAAAGAAGTGCAGCTTCCGGGGCAGCAGCGTCACTTCCACGGCCATGGCCTCGTACTCCTCGCGGTCAATGCTGAAGGAGCTCCCTGAGGCCTGTGGGGAGACAGAGTGGTCAGCACCTGAGGGGGTCCTGGGCGGGCCTAGAGCAGGGAGAGGACAGGTCCCCACCGGGGAGGAGCAGGGAGACATCGTCAGCACCGGGAAGGTGGCCTGGTCAATGGCAGACCACTGCCCTCTGACAGCTGGGGCCAGGGCTGCCCCATCACAAGCCCCATGCTTGGAAGGAAGTGCTTCTGCCGCTGGCCCATCACCTCTCTGTGTTCTGGGATCTGTGGACTGTCCTTCATTCACTGGAATCGGGGCTCTGGCCACATTGTGGGCTCACAGTGTGACGCAGCCCTCCCCGCATTCACAGGAAGAGCTGCAGACTCTCAGCAGATCCCCAGGAGGGCTCAGCGTCACCCCTCGATCCCGAGGAGGGCTCAGCGTCACCCCTCGATCCC